CAAGGCTGGCTGGGGAATTCTGGGAGTTGAAGTCCACACATCTTCAAGTGGTCAAGGTTGAGAAACACTGCTCTAATTGATAGATACCAGGCTAGAAGACTTCTCCTAGCTACAGTGCCTTGAGATCCATGATGTAGGCCAGGTGACAATAATGTTCTTCTGACCTCTTGGAACATTAGTTGATGCAGGTAACAACTGTTTGTAACCCTGTTGAGCAAATAAGAGAAGAGCAGACCCAGGTTTGATCAACACACCAGCTTCTGGGTCACGCACTGATCCCATATTATATCCCAAAGCGCTTCTCCAGGCTCTTCAGTAGTTGTCCCCTTAAATGCTAGTTCTTCCCATTCCCTCTGTTATATCCTTCTATTTGTTATCTCAATTGCAAGGATCCAACTAACATTCTTGACAAAGCTGTTCCTGCATTAATTGTTTCGTCCCTATTTCAGGCCCCTGAAAACTGTGTCATGACCATCGAGTGGGTACAGATGACCCTGGAAGCTCAGCAAAATCTCGGCTTGAAGGGCATCAGCCAACCTTTCTTCAGGGCTGGCTAACACAGAGGGCCATGCTCCAATGTTCCTAACCCGTCTAGCTGAACACCGAGCAAACAGCATTAGATATTCAGCCTTGGAGTTTTAGCTCAACTTGAGTATCTCCCCTTCCTTCCATTCTGTCCCTGTGCGTGTGTGTGTGTGTGTGTGTGTGGAGGGGGGTTGTTGTCAAAGGAGAGAGGATGATAGATGCAACTTGACTTTTATGGCACCTTCTCCTCCCATGGACATCCACGCTTCTTTGCAGAATAAAAGAGAACCTTGAATTGCCACCTTAGCACAGGAACCCAGAATTCAGTACCATCCCCATCTCTCTATCTGTCCCCCCCATCCTATGAACACTGATTTCCTAGCTCCTGGAATTTTATCTCCCAGCTTGGAATACTGATGATTGATTTTGGCCACAGGTCATTTCTGATTCACACAAGCCAATCTTTGGAGTTAAATGGATAATGAAAACTGGTTTAGGTACAGACAGGCCAAGATGCGGCTCCTAATCATTTTGGTCTCTTTGCAAATGGCTGTGAGTGATTGGATTTTACCCAGCGGGTCCAGGGCAGGAAGGTGGCACTGGAGAGACACCCCACAAGTCCCACCGTGTGGAGAGAGAACCAACGCCTTCCTTTCTTTCAACAGTCCAAACCGCCTTTGATGGATAGTTTTAAATTACACCGGGGCCGCCTTAGACAGAGGCCAAGGAAAGGGACTGGCACCAGAAAATCCAATCGCCTGGGTTTTGTGGAACCGGCACTCAAAGGGCCACATCCCGCGGGTGCAGCAGAGAGAAGGCGCCATTCTTCCGGAAGAAACTGTCGGTGCGGCACTTGGCTACGGGGGCCACGTGGAAGGTGGCCATTTTCCCTGGAAGACACAAATGGAGTGTGAGGGGGAGAGAAAAATAGAGGAGGGGGCTGCGTGGCCCCTTTGAAGCAAAAGTCCGTTCCCTAGTCGTGCCTGCTAGACCATCCTCCCCTCTAGTGGGCAGGGCTAAGAGAAGACCAGGGCGTGGCTTGGAGCAGGTCCTCCTACTGCCCGCTTACAACCCTGCGGGCACCCCAGCCCCTCCTGCCCACCCACTCACCCATCTGCCAGCCGTAGGTGAAGTTGGTGGTGATGGGGAAGGTGTACTTCTCCTCCGGTGGGTCAAGGAGGCGCATCTTCAGGTAACGGTAGCGTCCTTCGTCCTCGTGGGAGATGCCCTGGTACAGAAGGTTGCGCACTTCCCGGGGAGCTGGCTTCATCTCCATCTCCAGGATGGTGGCATCCAGCCCGGTCAGGTCACGCTCCCGGGGCAGCAGCTTGGCAGGCTTGGGCGGGGATAGAGGAGTGGGAGACTCGGGCTTGACGGGGGGTGGGGGGCGGACCGAGGGCAGGCGCAGGGTGGTGTCTTCTGCCTTCTTGCGCCGTTCCCGCCGGCTCTCCTGCTTGGCTTTGACGAGGGCCCCGTATTTCTGGTGCCAGCCAAAGCGCAGCATGATCTCCTTCAGGTATTCCTCCTTCCAAAAGTTCTGCTGCAGCGTGTCCATGTTGAGCAGACGTGCCATGGCTGAGGGGAAGAAGAGCTTGGCCCGGCCGAGCTACCCGCAAGATTAAGTATCTGACCAGGACCTCAGACGCCACCCTTCCTTCCGCACGTTCCTAAACCCCCTCTCTTCGCGGCAGAGACAACCCACCTGGCCAGTTTTCCTTTCAGCTGAAAGGGTGGATGGACTTGGGTGTTCCTGAGGGTCTCTGGTGGCCACCGCATTTGGTCAGCTACCACTTCACAGTTGCTGCAGCAGCCTCTTATGAGGTCACAGACCTCCTCCTCCTCCTCCAGTAGTGAGGAAGGAGTGAGACAAAGATGCAAGCCACCCCAAGAATCTCAGCCCTTGGGGGCAAAAGTCAACTGAGCTCAGGCCATGTTCCATTGTTAGTGGCCCACAAAACCAAACCCTAGTTCGCCACTGAGAAATCAGCAAGAGCTGAATGGAGTCAGCTGAATGGAAAATATTAGCCGGATAATGGTCAGCTGAGAGAGAACATGTTGGAGGCCAGGAGTAGTACAAATATCAGAGGTCTGCTGTAAGTCTTACCAGTTAATGCTTAACTTAGTTATGAACTAACCTATTTTCCAGGTCCACACATTACATCGAATCATAACTGTGTGGTGTTGTGACCCCCTAAAATAAGGAAGTTGTGTTGCCCCACCTGGTGTTGGGAGCTCGCCCATCAGACCCGAAGCAGGGTCTGGCAGCAATCCAGCTGGGTGCGCGCAAGCAGGTCTTGCGATCAGAACTCAGTCCTGCCCCAACTTCTCCTGAACGGTGTTCGTGGGTATCCAGCCAACCTGGAGGCCCTCTTCCCAGCGATTAAATTCATTCCCCTGGGGGTTACACGACTCTACCAATTGTCCCTTTTTGAAGTTCCCACAACACATTTAACCCCACATTGACTTAACCGTGTGGAGAACAATGGTGTCCACCATTGGGTGACACTAGCAAGGCCGTGTCCACCATTGGGTAGCCACTGTTCCGTCACCACCCATCAGCCCCATTTCTGGGCTTGGTGATGTTGGCATCCTGGCTGCCAGGAAGAGCTGGAAAACATCCACACGGGGCTGAAGGACTTACTAGCCAGAAGCATCCGTAATTGCTCACCCTCCAACTGGATACCTTTCAGATGTGCTGGATAAGGGTTAGCACCATGGATGCTACGGCAACAGTAGCCCTGGGAAGGACGCTAGCTTGGAAAAGGCCAGGACCTTTCCCCATGGCAATTTTTCAGGGAAATCTTGAAACTCCACCAAACCTGTTACTGAAACTGGCCCACCTTTCCTCTGGGTCAGTGTTGTCCAAACTTGGCCACTTTAAGATGAGTGGACTTCAACTCCTAGAAATGGTGGGGGGATCTTTGGAAATAAAGACCCTCCTTCTTAAAAGGCCCAGATTGGGCACAAATCGTCCTGGGGGAGGAGGCCCA